AAAATGGGTGGCTTTTTCATCAATTTCATGAACCTGTCGTCGTCTTTTTTGCATGCCATCTCTCTTTCTGCCTTATGTGATGGGATATTGTTGGCTATGCATATACATATACAACGAAGTTCGTCGAAATGGTGAAGTGTCGGCAACTGTGGGATTCGACCGAATGCGGTCTATCTGAATGATCAGACCATCAATAATCAAGGATTGAGTAACCACCAAGATTCAGTCAAAAGTGAGATTCAGCGGAGCTATACGGCCAAGGACAATAACAAAATTATCTTCATTTTTCTATCTGACGGTTGAGAGCTATGCTCACTCAACGGCCTTGATTGCCCGAGCTGATAGTGTAAATTTGGGTCTAAACAGTTTCACATGAAATTGGTGCAAGTAATGATTTCGAAAATAATTGGTGAACGAAAAAGGAAACAGAATAGATCATGTTGAAAAATGTTGGATAAAGTATTATGGTCTCTCAGTATTCTCAGTATTACAGTATTACTGTTGACCCTAAAAACTACCAAGCCTACGTGGAGCGCAGGCCAAGTAATCTATGAGCTAACTACGTCATTCGATTGTGTGCGGGGCGTGCCAACTCGTCGGCCGAGGAGTAAAATATGTTGATGTCGCGTTGGGTGCGTTGCTGACTTCTTGATCTTGCGACTGCGGCCGAGGAAGGAACTTGTCTCGGCCTTCAGGTTCTAGAGCCTAAAAACAAGGCTACTAACTTAGCGAAGTTAAATATCAAATTCGGCTTCCAATGTGCCGAATGTAGTAACTTGAAACACCTCACTTCGCCGAGAAGGCTGATGAGATGATCTCGACCAACAAAGATTCGGAAATCCTTCTCGACCGAGACTTGGATAGGTAACCAGTCGGCCTCGACGCAGTGTTGTTTATGCCAACTGAAGATGATGCGAGATCGGCTGATTCTACGGCGACAATGATATTTATGCCAACTGAAGATATCACCGGTTGCCTCCACAATGCTGTTTATGCCAACTGAATATGTGTTGGCGAAAAAGAAAATAAAAAAAATCTCAAAGTTGTTGAGAGGGTTTGCGCAGAGCAGTTTTGTGTGTTCAATTAGAGGTCCCCTAAATGATCCATGACCCCCTGTATTTATAATAGCAGAACACTAGGATTGTCGTCGTAAATAATGGGAATATCTTCTCAAGTATGCATGATCCCTTAACCTTAGAAACCAACTGAGACTTAAACTTCTCGAATTATCCCAAATGGATCTTGTGGCCTTGGTGATTTCCTAGAAACCAACCAAGACTAAACCTCTCGAATTATCCCAAATATCCATCAACCACATGCTGGCTCATAACGCAAAAGTCTATACCAATATGCTAAATCATTTAGCCTACTCAACAAGATAATTACTGCCATCTTTTATCACCACCACGTGTAAAGTCATCTTTCAAGCACATCACCATTTTTACTTATCCCTTATCGTAATTCCATCAACATCGTGATCTTTATCCAACACATGCATTGATTTCCTGATCACCTATTTCACCTCGTTGACCAACCAAAGAAGGTCATCGGATCATTTTTATCCACGCCAACTAACCTTGACCAATATGATCTCATCTTTTACCCCATTGTATTTGCATAAATGCAGGGAAGATAATCTTTTAACCTGCCACGTTAGCTCTCAAACCAATCATCATGTAAGTGTAGCAATTCGAACTGAAATTGATCTCCTTTGCTTCCAAAAATATATTTTATAAGATAATTATTATAATAATCCAATAATAATACCTAGAAAAATATGAAATCCAACGGCCTAGAACCCGCTCATTCAACGGCCTCAATGGCTCAGGCCGATATTGTAAAATCGAGCCCAAACAATTACTCACCCAAAAACTTGGTTGCTTGATGATGTTTGGCTAGCAATGACATCTTACTTTTAATTGTGACCATTGATTGTAAGATTCAGAAATTTCTACACGAGTCTATCATGGAATCAGCAGAAGAGAAGAAAAAGAGGTCAACATCTTACTAAGATTTGATATTAAGATTTCATGGTTGCATTACTGTGAGATGCCCAAAGGCTTCCGTACCATCTTTCTTGGTTGCACCAACCAGATTTCCACATGTTTGTTAGACTTATTTGAGATTGTTTTGGTCCTCTTCGAGCGGGTTGAGTGTCCATTTCACAAAGGCTTTTGTCACGCTTGCCGACGACCCACCCAGGCGGCAGTACGTTCAGTCGTTGTTAACTTCTCGCGTCGTTACCGTCTGAAGCTTGAAAGCCATAATTGCATTGGATTTATTTTGATTCCCACATTAATAAGAGTCCTTTTTTGAGGATTGTGAGACCCCATCGACCTTGCTAAAATAAATCATTTTCTCGAGATAGAGATATGACATCACCACTAGAGTTGTCCTGTTAGATAGGGAAAAAAAAAAATTAAGCCCTTCTTTACCACTTTAGGGAGTTGGGGATTCCTTCCAGCCAAAGGTCTAACCAAAAAGTAGGGAAAGGGAACTCAAAACTAGCTACTGGGATGAAAAAGCATGACAAGAATTCTCAACTTGAGGTGTTAGAAGGTACAAAGAGAGAAAACGCACTACTCCCACTTTTTCCGCAATTTAAAAAAGAAAAAAGAAAGATCTGTCACTTAGTACTACGGTTTAGTGGTATTCTTCTTCACTTATAAGTGAGAGGTCTTAGATTTGATTCTCTCCAAAAGCAAATTTGAACTACATTATTGCTAATTCATTATGAGACTAAGCCCATCCCCTCCCTTTATTATAGATACTATCATTTGTTCCAAAAAAAAATAAAAAAGAAGGATCTACCCCTTCTTTTACTTTGTTTTTAAAAGACGTCCAGCCACCCTTAGTGTGAAGGAGATCGAAATAGGCTAGCTTTCATTTAGCGTATCAATTTATTTTAGTTATGATGATGCAAATGTTTTGAAATGATTTTTTTTTTTTTGGTATGAAAATGCAAATAATTAAATATACATAATTTTTTACATCTGTAATAGGTGAGCTCCACTATTTAAAAAGAGAAAAATAAATGAAATTCAAAATTTACATCTGTTCTATTGAAGTGAAAATCATATATACATCTTCCGAAAATATAAAATATAGAAACATGGAAAATGTTTGGGTATAGTATGTAATTATGTATGACTACTACGCTTCAGTATTCCAAGGATAAACATTTGTTGGGGAATCAAGGATAAATGGTATGTCCTTATTTTGTTATATTGGAAATCAGTATTCAAATTGATACACTATGGATAAACGTTATTAATCTTTATAGTTTTATAGTGGCGGATTCATGAATTATACCTCAAGGGGTTTTAATGGAAGGGTTCAAAACATTTGTAAGACAGAAATAGCATGCATGGGGCACAAATTTTTTACGAGTTCGGTTGATTTGTGTCAGGTTTCTTTAGCGTGGCACTTCAATACTTCATCGAGTACTTGTTGGACTTGTCGACATTTGACAAGTAGTGTTGCCGAGGTCTGTCAACATTCGTCGAGCCCTAGGCACTTTATCGCACACTTGTTGGTTACCATTGAGTCACGTATCAGACTGTTATAGCTTGGGTCCCTAAAGGACTTTCCAAGGCATTTTTAGTCATCCGTAAGGTTCCCAAATTCAACCAGTCCCTTGCTGAATTTGCCCTTGGTTATTCACTCATTTTTGTTTACATTTTAATGCATACCTTGAATGCATAAATAAACATTTTTAGATCATCTTCAATCCTTGGGTTAAAACCTAAAATTTTTAGCATATAAAATTTAGGTTTTAACCTATAAACAGCTTTTCTGCTTCAACATTTATGGGTTCAAATTTTAGCCCCAGATTATTAAAGAATCCATTTAGGTTAATTTCTTTTTAAAGTAACTTTTTAAAAAGAAAAAAAAATTATGTAGACTATCCTAATTTAATTTTATGAAATTTTTTACCTAAAAATATATAGATTCTGACAAATATTGAAAAATCGCTAACTGACACCATAAAACTTGTGAAATATTATGAAAGAATATGAAACACATAAAAGAATTTTTTTTTTTTTAATCACTTTAGCCATTGAATTCAAATTTTGACCGATATATCTTTTTTTTATTGTTGAATCATATTAGATCTTAGCCATTGGATTCAAAGAATTTATAAATATAAAAAGAAAAAAAAGTCCACATACATGATGGGCCAACTCCACTAACTCGGGAGGAATCCTAAGTTAAATTTGTCTCATAAATAAGTTTTGGGTTAAAACTCATATTTGCCTCAAGGGTTTGAGTAAGTTGGGATAAGTTTATAACTTAAAATTTGAGTTTTACTGCAAATATTAGAGCAAGTGTTAATGTATGTTTAGAACTGTAAGTCTCTTACATTTTATGTACGATTTAACCACAATGAGGATCATTGCTTGAGATCTGGACGAGTCACGACTCACGAACAATCAAACCTTGAACCCTAAACATAGACTAAGAGCCAAGAATATGATCAGCATTGCCTCGTCAGCAGAGAAACGCTAATTAAATTGGAAGGGGATCCTCTCCGGATCCCTTCCATCAAATTCATCCAATCAATCAATACAAGTCCTTAAAATTTGATCCAACGGTTAAAGTTATTATAACTTTTAAAAAGACTCCTTGTTTTTAACCTTTGAATCAAATTTCAAGGGCTTAGATTGATTGATGGGATGGATTTGGTCCGGATCCCTTTCCAATTAAATTTGCCAGTTTGGCAAAATTTTGGATATGCATGGCCAATATAGACTTGGAGCAAAAACACGCAATTCCTAATTAGGCCCAAATAGAAAATACTAAATGAAGTTAAGTTAATTTGTTGTTTGAAAAGTTCAAATTGACCTCACAAATAAGGATATCTCATAAACACGTAAAACGGATATGACAAACGAGATATGAATTAGCATACTCCTTTAGAACAAAAATAATTTAGAAACTTCCGCAAATTTCTCGTTCTTTCAATGAACACAATGAAATATCTCAAAACAAAATTAGCCTGTTTGGAATGGAAGATTCTATCTCTAGTTTCTAACGAGTCAATCACACTATTTTGAAGCTTCTTAAATACCGCTATCACTGTCCAAACATGTCCCAAGCTTCTGTGTTCTTCAAAACCGAGTGCCAATTTTTTCTTAGTGTCCACATTTTTCTTGAATTCCCAAAGTTTGCATTTTTGCAAGTCTGCAAATTTGCAAGATAAAAATCAATGGCTCTGAAGGCCGTTCATGTCTCTGATGTTCCAAACCTCGATCAAGTCACAGAAAATGCTGCCGCATTGGCCGTATATTCGCCGTGGTTGGCTCAAGGTCTCGGCATTTGCAATCGAATTAATTACTTGGAATTCAAGAAACAAAAAAAAAAGAAAGGAATCTGATTTTTGGAATTGGGTTTTTTTGTGTGAATAGGTGTGAAAGATGAGGGTGAAGAAACGAAATGGGGATACAAATGGCCAAAGTTCGTGGTGATGGGACACAGAGGCAGCGGGATGAACATGTTGCAGTCTTCTGACGCAAAACTCAAATCCATCAAAGAGAACTCCATTCTCTCCTTCAATGCCGCCGCTCAGTTCCCGATCGATTTCGTCGAGTTCGACGTTCAGGTGAGCATCATCTTTGTGCTTCTTTTGGTACCCAAAAGAAAACATTTGATCAAAGTCACAAACTTTGTTAAGAGAAACAGACTTTGATTTGAGGGTACTAATTGTTCTGCTTCTTTTTCTTTCTTTTCGTTTCAATTTCTTGGTTTTACAATTAGGGAAAATTGTAAACAAAAGCTATTTTTGTAGGTGACCAAAGATGACTACCCGGTCATTTTTCATGACAACTTTATTGGCGCCGAGGACAAGGTTAGTTCGGAATTGTTATCAAACGGACCCTTGAATTCCTTGATTTTTATTTTCCTGCTGACTATTGATGTTATATGTAATTTTGTTTCAGGGTGTTTTCAAGGAGGAAAGGGTTACAGACATTACTCTGCTAGAATTTCTCTCCTACGGACCCCAGAAAGAGGCCGGAAAGGTATCACAAATGGTTATTTTTTCCGATTCCAAATCGATAAAATGTATGTGGATGTTCTGTTAATAAGTCTATTTTTTCATTCATTCAAATGCAGGTGGGGAGGCCCTTGGTCAGAAAAATAAAAGATGGGAGGATTTTTTACTGGAAGGTAGAACAGGATGACTCCCTATGCACATTGCAAGAGGGGTTCGAGAAAGTTGAGCATTCCAAGGGTTTTAACATTGAATTGAAGTTCGATGATCAGATTGTCTACAAAGAAGAAAAACTCGAACATGTTCTTCAAGTAATCTTGCAGGTAAGGATGCCTAATTTGCTTAGCAGGTTCTATAGGACATAATATGTACTAAGATTTCTTTAAACAGGTGGTGACTAAGTACGCGAAAGATAGACCGATCCTGTTTTCGAGCTTTCAGCCTGATGCTGCATTGCTGATGAGAAAATTGCAGACCACATACCCTGTAAGATCACATTCTAAACTTTCTGTCGAAGCGTATTGAAAATGGTCTACTTTGCTGAACCTGCATTGAATGCAATCCAGGTCTACTTCCTCACTAACGGAGGGTCTGAAATTTACGCCGATGTTCGAAGGAATTCGCTGGAAGAGGCCATGAAGGTGTGTTTGGGAGGTGGTTTGCAAGGAATTGTATCAGAAGTAAAAGCTATCTTGAGAAATCCAAGGGCAGTGACCAAGATTAAACAGGCCAAACTTTGCATTATAACCTATGGACAATTAAAGTAAGCCATCACTTTGGTAAAAGCACTTTTCAGATCAGAAGTACTTATTCAGCTAATAATACGATCATATCCTTTGTGAACTTGCAGCAATGTGCCAGATGCTGTATACATGCAACTTCTCATGGGGGTTGAGGGAGTGATTGTTGACCTTGTCCGAGAGATCACAGAGGCGGTTTCCGACTAGAACTGAACCCGAATTCATGTCAAAGAAGGACAAACTTGGAACTTTTGCAGGAAAGGTTATGCCAGAGAAGATACAACGTTGACGGCCAATTAACGTGGCCAGAACCGGATGACAAATTGTGCATAGAGCAACATTTTACGGACCATACCTTAGTTTTTGTTTTTTGGTTGTATCCAAATGGTTACCCAAATGGAAGATGAGTTTGGAGTTCAAATTTTAATCAACAATAAATTTTTGGAATATATTGTGTACTCAAACGACATAATTAAGTAGATTAGTCCTGCAGGAAAACAAAATGCCAGGCCTTGTTAGCAAATCTGAGGGGTACGTCAACTTGATGGGGAAATCGAGACTTTTGGTGCAAGCTTAATCAACTAAGCTACAATCGCTATACAGTTTTCTTTGAACATGCGTAAAACATAAGTACAACTTGCGAAACTTAACTTCTGATCTAAATAATTTTATTTGCGTAACACATAGTTGTATTCTCAACCTCCGTCTTAATAAATATTAAAGGAAATATTCTTGGCACTTCTTTTGCACTCGATTCTAATAACAATTCTCATATTAGATTTAAAGTTGTAGATTCTAGGTTCAGTGCCTCTTGTTCTTTCAAATATTACAATATAAGAATAATTCCATTTACACACACAAAACCAACCCTCGTTAATAGAGCTAAGATAGATCATTATATGTTAACAAATGTACCGATTTTGTATGTCTAGACCCTAAATAATCGTACTCTACGGTTTAAAAAAATTATCCTATAATCCCTATAAAATGGAACAAAGTTAAAAGTGACGAAGTACTTTGCTTCTAAAACAAGAATACAAATACCCTCTTAAATTCTTGGAATGAGGTCTAAAAAAGACGCAACTTTACAATGGAGAGATATTTATGTGCCCCCAGAACACGAGGTGGTACGCCACATGTTAGTACACTATTGGTGAAATTTTTTTTTTCAAGTGAATTCCAATTATATAATTACATGTAATGTCCTACTCATGTTTCGAATACATTTAAAAATCTTTCTTTACAATGAGGGTAATCCACACATCATCAAGTGGGCCAGTTTGTTGACACGCCCAAAGACACCCATCTTTTTGTTAGCATTTGATGGGCCTTTTGAGGAGGAGAGGAAGTTTCTCTCTAGCGTGCACTGCAAAGCATTTGATTCCAAAGTTGGCAGTTCTGGAAAAGTACTTATTCAAAGAAAGAAAAGTACGGTTTGTGTACGTTGTGTGATACGTACAAGCATTAAAAAAATTTAAAATTTAAAATTTTAAAAAAAAATTAAAAAAAAAAAAAAAAAAACAAGTAGAAAAGTCAGTACAACAACATGATATAGGATTAGTACCATCATCATCTCATTAACTTTGTTCAACGTTTATATAATTGTATCGTAATCATTTGTACATTAACAAGATAGCTAAAAATCAACCCAAAAAAGGAAAATATAACTTGTACTTTGAAAATCCATGCACAAGGCTTCTGATCGGCAAATTTCAACATCGTCACGAGAACAGTAAATTCTTCTACCTCTATTAATTTTAGGCCTACGATAATTCTAATCACACGCAAAATCTAACTTAGATTCGAGCTACCCTATTGAGCTATATTCATGCGTTCAAGACATCAATTCAACAACTACTTGTATACAAAGAATGTCTGTTGTTGGTTAAACCAAATCCAACCCTGAGCTAAATGTTATTTTTTAGGTTTTATTCCCCCTGGTCAAATTTCAACATCGTCACAAGAACAGTAAATTCTTCTACCTTTATTTTTTCAGGCCTGTGATAATTCTAATCACAAGCAAAATCTAACTTAGATTCGAGCTTACCCTATTGAGCTATATTCATGTGTTCAAGACATCAATTCGACGACTAATTGTATACTAAGAATGTATGTTGTTGGTTAGATCAAACCCAATCCTGAGCTAAATGCTATTCCCCCCCCCCCCCAAAAAAAATCAACCCAACTCATGCTAAATGTGTGGGCTAAAAGCTAAAAGCCAAATTCCCCACAGGATTTAGTCCAGAGGGCACCACTAGCGGGACCCCACCCACATGGGGCTGTCTCACATGATTTATTGAATCTAACGGTTGAGATCGAATATAATCAAATTTAACGGTAATAAAAAGATCTAACGGCCCAAATTTAAATCCAACGGCTAAAATAATTAAAAAAATTATTTAACTCAAAATTCATCGAAATTTAGTGATTTTCAATATTTATCGGAATTTAAATATTTTTAGGTTAAAATGTTTATAAAATTAAATTATGATAGTGTACATAATTTTATTTTATTTTTTTAAATACTTTAAAAGAAAAAATTAGGCTAAATTTATTCTTTATAATCTCATGCTAAAAAATTTAGACCTAAATTATTGGAGCAGAAAACCTGCTTTTGGGGCTAAAACCTAAATTTTATGGGCTAAAATTTTAAGTTTTAGCCGAAAGTTGAAGATGGTCTTATGTCCTGTTTGCGTAAGTGAAGAAAGACAGCTATTAATTTTATAATCAGGTAGTGTTCTTTTCCATTAATCTGAGGCTTACATATGTGTCTTTGCAGACATTAATCTGATGGATTGCTTGCTTCAGGTTGGTTGACAATTATATTTTAGCTGGAAATTGAAGAAAATGAGGTCAGTCTATCACTGCATGCGCAGTGCATGTGGGCATCTACGTCAACAACATAAACAATAATTTGGTCAACTTTGAAACCAATGGCAACTTTTTAATTTTTTAACCCTTAACCCTTAACCCTTAATTTGTTCTAGAAATTCGACTCCCGTTGGATATTTTATTTACTTGTTGATGCATCACATTCACCTATATTATTTTCACTCAAACATGGTTACAATATTTGGTTTATATATTATATAAAGGATTAAATATCAAAATGATCTTTGTGTTTTACTCTATCGATCAATTTAGTCCCTATGTATTCAATTTGGTCAAATTGGTCCCTGTGTTTACATTCGTTAGTCAATTCAAGACAATCCGTTAAAAGACAGCTACAATTGACATGTCCTAAATCGCATAGTACTCAAGTGAATTGAATGAGGCGACAATTTTTAAGGGTAGGCATCGTATCTGTTTAATGAGTATACATAAAATTATATTTTTGTCCTCTCACATGTTTGGCATATGTCAATTTTAATGGTCCTTTAACGGATTGTATTGAATCGGCTAAGGATGTAAACACATGGACCAATTTGACCAAATTGAAAACACATGGACTAAATTGGCCAATAGAGTAAAATACAGGAACCACTTTGACATTGAAGCCTTATATAAAAGATGGCCATATAGAGTAATTTATAATTACTAAATACACAGGAGTATTCAAGCACTAATCATTTAATTATATATAGTAATATATGACACGAAGATAATTAATCATTTGTACTTGATTCACAGAGTAAACTCATGATTATAATCGTTTATTTTTTAGGTACTCATTCATAAATCTTCCTTGTAAAAATTCATTCAAATTGAAATCGTCTAGCTCTTTAATTATTATTGTAAATGTTCCATTGTTTGTAAACAACATTGTGTTGTGTTCCTCTGTTTATTAGGTCACAATTAGATAACTATACGTCTTCTCATTTCAATGAAATGTTATAAAGATGATCTTTAAGTAGAAGCCTAAAGCCATGGTTGGTTTAGATTATGAAAACTAATTAATGTGGAGCAAGCCTGACGAACGGTTAATACATATTAAATTACTAATTAATCAGTGCTAGAGTAAATATACAAAATATATTTGTGTGTCAGTTGTCCATGTTACAAGCGATTGTTTGGAAATATTTTAAATAGCATGATATGACATCACTCATCCATTTTCTTCTGGGACAAAACTACATATTAATTATCAAGTTCATTGAACTCCACAAAACCCTAAAATGTATATTATAAACTTGTAAGTTGTGACAAATATGAAAGTGTCTGTCGTTGTAAAGAGACACTCTTAGAAAATGGGAAATGATGCCCTACGAAGAAGAAGAGCACAAATAATACTTAAATCATTGACATAAAAGGGGAGTGAGCACTATTTTCTTCTTCCCCGTCAAACTGCACTTCTACTTGGTGGTGAGCGGTAATCTCTCTTTCCAGCTAATAATTAAACCTTAATATAATCTGTTGCTTATACTGCTTAATTGTCAATCATTCTTTAATTATGCTATTGGGCCTTTAAAAAGCTACTTTGCTTACCAAGATGAACACTTCATTGGCAACACTTCTTTATTATAACATGAGGCATGCAGCACCTTGGGTCCAATTAGACCAGTCAATGCCATTGTCCCATAAGTACCCATACCAATCCATTCATATTATAACGTGCACCTTGGGTAAAATTAGATCAGCCAATGTCATCTTCCCATAGGTACTCATACCAATTCATCCATATTATAACGTGTACCTTGGGTACAATTAGACCCATCAATGCCACGTCCTATAAGTACTCTAACCAATTCATTCATATTATAACATACATCTATTCATTAGTACTTTAACTTGGTCTATAACATATTTTAACATTACCGTCTATATATATAATAAAATGAACCTAGAATAATGAATATCATGCGACAAAAAAATCGAGAGTAGGGTTCTCCCCCCCTATAATCCCCTCCTATTTGAACTGTCAAGATTAAACGACGTCACGATCCTATAAAGCAAAAAAGAGGTGATAATTTGGAGTTGAGAGAACTGTACTTTATAAAATCGTGCAAATATTCTCTAAATTCACGTGTCATAAGAGCTGTTTTTCTTTCCAAGTAACCCTATTTATTGGCTTCTCCAACTCAAATTTCAAAAGATGGTTTATGCCTAACTCATTATTCATGGCATGGTCTCATTATTCATGGCATGGTGAATATATATATATGCAGTGTATGTTGGCCATTAGGATGCTTGTAATGGGGGGCAACCCCGAGAAGATGAATTTCCCAATAAAAGTAAAAGGAGTGAGGCAAAGAGGAAGAAAAACCAAGCCAAGTAGCCAACCCCCAAGACCCAAAATTAAAAAATTAAAAAGAATTAAATTGAAAGATTATTAGAGTAATGGAAAATATGATTGGGTTGAAGAAGGAGGAAGGAAGCAGAGAAAGGCATTTTCCACTGAACAACATATTTTACTCAAAAAAAACAATAATTGCAGCCTTAGACGTTTCTCTCTTTTCTCCTTAAAACTCTATTCGACACCCACACGCAACCTCCTTTGACCCTCACTCTACACAAAAACAAAACCTAATATTAATTAATT